CTCCTGAGCCTTGTTAACCGGCTGAGCATGATGTAAGCAACGCAGTGTTCCCGCACTGAGCTTTGAGTGAAGGTTGCCGTCGCTGTGGTGATGATGATGATGAGGGAATACAAATGAACGCCTGACTGGATATGAGCGTATTGAATAATTCAGAGCATATCATTTCCAACGGATCAATTGTTTAGTAATAAGCTCGTCGTCGGAAAATGCTTTTAAAGTACAGCTAAGTGTGAACATCTACCACTCTGCTACTTTGCAGGATGTGACGAAATTCGGGTTAATTTACTCTCATGGCAGAATATGGATATATGTATACACCAATTCGTACGCTGTGTAATGAAGCCAGGGCGTTGCACTCGTACCATCGGTACCTCTACCGTTGTCAAATTGGCATGAATTCGAGGAATATCAAGAAAGCAGTAGGCGGACTTTATTTACCGCACCCAGCTCATTGCATCGCTATAAAACCCATCCAACACGTAACCTAACGACCGCACTGAGCCATAAATATCGATGCAGGATTTCTTCGCATTATTACAGTACAAGCGACTGTGGACACCAATACTATATATTTCTTCGCCTTAATACACCCGGGTATTAAGATGTTAACGGAATTAATAGATCTGTCCGAACAAAGCGGATTACCCTCCTAGTAGGTTATTTATTCCACTGCCAATACACGCACAGCAAGAAACCGTATTACCCGTGTCACAACAACGCGTTATTATATCGAATGCTTGTTAGACATCTCGTTATTATCGCAATTAATCCGACTGTATATTTGAGACATGCGCATGCGCGGCACGTACACATGTATAGTCTTGTTTTATTCACTTTCAATATATAAATAATTAAGTACGTGGCATACCCAACTGTACACAGATATGTGCTTGTTGTGCATACTATACCGATTACGCAATCATATCATTCGAACAAATGTCACACTATGTCTGATAGAGTAATGCATTATAAGAAAAAGTAAATCAAAGCAAGTCCAATTTTATTTGGCTCATCAGTGGTCGCGATATATAAAATTAATCTAATTATGTGTATGAAACGACTTCGACCATCATTTCGACAGCTGATGGGAACTGTACTCGCTTCATCGTGTAACAACAATAACAACATTTTTTGGGTAGCTTGTGTCTATCAATACATATTACTTTTAACTGATTTGCGCAATTTGTGCTGTAATTATTCAATTTAAGTTGGCGGGGTTTTTCACACTGCAACAAAAAACAAACAAACACACACAATAATAGTAATTTCCTGCTTAAACCTGAGCGGAGCGAAACGACTCCACGGAGTAGTCACCAATGGTGGTTACATTGAGCGTAAAGTAATGTTATGATAAATTCTCCCTATATTCACATTGTGTATCATTGTATTATGATTCTGTGTGACATCCACAGAATAAATGCAAGATAGTTTTGTACTTGTTAATACATAATTTCATCACTGGCAACATGCCTAGATAAATCTATCATTGTCTGTACTGGCATTCATACCAATTTTGTGCGCTTGCCTGAATGTATCTTGTGAAGTCCATTTTGTGAGTAGAATTACATCTTAAATGTTTCTGACGTTTAAATTACCTTTGGTGAGATGGATATGTAACATGGGGTTTTTGTTTCCAGCCGTATTTCTGTTTATTTATTTCTGTTGTAGATCCTGAGAACTAGCCACTGAATATGATATCAGAGAATAAATGGTATGCTGGACAAGATTTATTAATTATTGCTAGCAATATTTCAATTTGAATTGGGAGCAAACTTGTTCTTGTTGTGTTGTTTTGCTTCTAAATTAAATTCTTAAATGTCCTGAAACAGATTTAAATATAAGGATAAGGATTTTAAAATATGAAGATGAAATAATGTCCAACATAGTAATATGGTATATGGTAACAGTCAAGTATATTTACACTCACGATCGTAGTTGGGGCGGACCTTTTAATGTAACAGGGCCTTTGAGATGGTGTATTTTAATGTATTTTGTGGTCATTTGTTCATTTTCAATTTCCAAAAGAAGAATTTATCCAAGTGTATTGTAACAACGGCTCAACGGCTCAAATATGCCATGTCATCCGTCCCTCTCTCCCTTCTCCGTGTCCCTCTTTCTCTACTATTGTTACTTGTCTATCCCTTACTTGATGCAACTTTATGCACATTGAATAAATCTGTAACTGAGGATTTTACACTAATGGACCTAGTCTCATGCGAATCAAATATGCCGTGCACGCTTGTTGTATAATTACATATAGATTTAAATTACATATAACAGTTAATCGGCATACTTTGCTTTGCTAAATAAAACGTTATCTGCAATTTAACATGAAGCAATATAAATAACCTGTAAAATTAATAAAAAGTAATTAATATTAGATAGACAAAATGATCAAATAATTATGTATTTCAAAACCTCAGAATTTGAAAGGCGCTTATATTTACGCGCGTACAAGCCAAAACAATTGGTTCATTTGCATGGGGTAAATTGTATCCGTAATGACAATTCACCAACACAAACATAAAATATACAGGTATGAATGGCAGGTTAAAAAAGTCATTTTGTCGTTACCAAAATCGGAAGAATTTAAAGAACGCTAATATTCTGTACGTACAGTGAAATGATCACAGAGATCGTTGGTCAGCCACACAATATAACACACAGTGGTTAAATCAAAGGCGCTTACTCAACATTTCCAGAAATGCGATTTACATGGACTTGATAACACATGTTGTCAGACAACATAATCGTTGTTAAAAGTCTGTAGATCGCTTCACGACAAAACTATTTATAGTTGAAGGTCTTGGAAAATAGTCTAGAATTTATAGATTGAGGGAATTTACACATAATTCTGAAAATATTACTCCCCACCCAACCTCGATCACAGCAGATACTATTAAAATGTAACCATATATAACTTACAGTTCATACTAAATATAAAACACAGAAAATTATAAATTTACCACCAATGTAATACTTTAAATAAAATGGGCTTTATTTGTTATAGACTTAACATACTAAGCCTATAGTACTCTGAGAAACATTAAATCTCTAAACTTTGTATACATCCATATTGCTTTAAAGTATACATACACTATTACTATTTTTCATCGAATGAACAAGTCGTAGATTGTAAATGATTCTCAGCGATTCGGTGGTTCTCTAGTATCAAAGCCATGATACATGGATAAAAAAGTAGCAAGTTTTGTTGACAGCATGTACTAAAAATGTGCAGCGTGTTGGCAACAAAAATTGAATCCGCTGACAAAGTACAACATTTGTTGTCAACTTGATTCAAAATGGCGGGAGAATATAGGTTGCTAAGGCTCTGTGCAGAGAGTATAGACGCCATGATTCTATTATTTCTAAACATACCATCATGATAGAATATAGACACATTACACATCAACATATTAGCTATCATACTCGCATAGAAACGTCATTGACATTTACAGTTCAAAATATAAATATTACATTTTCTCAATAAAATTTTATCTATTCTATTAATTATATATTACAGATGGATCATTCCCATCAATCCAGAATAGCAAGACGAAATTTACGTGTTGTGTTATACTCGCTCTCAAGTATGTTACTGGGGGCTGATATTTTGCGTCTGCTTTATATGGTCACATGACATCAGGCTATGTATTTGATTGGCAGTTATTTAACACGCGTCACATGCGTCGCGGTACGACAGCTGTGGTACTTCAAATTGTCAAGGCCTACATAATATTTGTGTGCGAGTTGATCTACACGCATTATTTAGCTATTCACTGAAACATATAAGATGCACAGAATAAATTCAACCAGCACTAGGCGTGTTACTACGTACCACAGAGGGTGACGGTGTTGTGTGTTAATATGCTACTGGATAATGCCGTCATGATATTACTATCTTTATAACAATAACCCGAAGTAACGTCATACATAATCAAAATTGTCATCATCTTCCATTCAACGAAGATAAAATTCTAAGAATATTTTACATGACGTCGAAGGGATGCACACTTTTTAACAATTTACAACATCTTGACTTGAGGTCTACACGGTTCTCTCTCACTGATTTGATCATGTGTTGTTGGATATTTTGTTGTGTATTTGGACTTGTGCGGCATTTGGACATCCTATTACTTCTCTTTGAAAATTAAACATAAAAACAAAATGGTTGCCAGTAAAGTCACACGAGGGCGCTCTCAGCACTGATTTGCTTGTAGATATCACTGGTTGTTTTTTTATTTTCCCCATACAGAGACATGTACATAATGGAGCCCAAAAAACCTGCTGGAAATATATGACTCGGTGAAGTAAGCAATTAGATCTTCCATAAATTCACCAATCAATGCCATAAATTGTGACAACACTATCTCGTTACACTTATGGTGTTGTTACGTTATTGCGACGAGCGAAATACTCGCCTCTCATCAGCTGGAGGGGTACATAATGGATATAATGTCATGCACAGCTTAACAGTGCGTTCACTACACATTTGTTTACTTGGTAGAGTCGTTTATCTGCGGTGAGGGATACTACACATTAATATGATTAACCAGTTATCTTTCTCAGAAACACTTACAACTAACTAAATATGCACCCTGCTTTATACGGTAAAAGGAAGGAAAAACGCGGAAAATGCTTCGAGAATATGAGTAATTTTAATATAATGTAATTATTATCATAAATATTACTATAATATATTGCATGCAAAAAACGTAAAGATGCACATTCAAATAGACATATATATTACGTAAGCATATTCCCACTAATAGGCAGTTATTTTGGTTGAATAACATAGAAAATATACGGGAGATCTTTTCTAGTTATCGATACAAGCTTAAATATAAATATCACGGCTACAACACTGCTAGTTTAACTTGACAGAGAATCTATCAGTTGTTTAAACAATCTTTCGATGTGCACAAAAGAAAGCTACAGATATATGTCCTTAAAACTCGTTAATGTGCACATCTTTTCGATGTAAGCAAAACAGCGAACGTTTAAGCCGGGTTAATATATCGTATGGCTTCATTTCCTGGCGCTAACAACTTGTCTTTAACCACTTTTAATCTTCTAGGAAGAATGTAAAGCACAATACTGATGACGGTGACGATGACAATGCTCAATACACTTATACAAGCGACCACTATTCCACCGATTCCAGCGTTAACAGGTTCCGTAGTAATATCATATACATTCCTTGCAGATCTAGCCATGGGACTGAGCTTCTGGTTCGTACCTGCTATCATTGTGGACGAAACGGATACTATGTTCGAAATGTTGCCACTTCTACCCGCGTCATCAACGGCAATAATTGCGAAGTAATAGACTGCGCTGTCGCTCGTTGTTATTGACACCGTGACGCTCTCAGGGAAACCCGCTTTACGCGGAGATAACAGCGTTCCTTCTGTTAACATTGAATCGTTTATTCGCGAACATTGGTAGAAGAATGAGAACAATTCCGAGAAAGACGTGCTGAATCGAAGGTCATAACGTGACGCTGCCAAGAAACGACAAATACAGTAAGCAAATAAGAGTTATTCGTGGGTTGTTATATGAACCCATTTATATTAAATCAATGAAACCAGGCATGATATGGGTGTGCTTACCTTTTCCTTGATCTAGATCATCCCCTGTCGCAGTCCACTTCAACTGCACATTGTCTGGTAAATTCAATTCTTTAATTCCCAGATCCACGATTCTAGATGGTGGGAAGTTGTCCGCCGCAAGATAGTCGTCATCAATAATAATACTATCAGCTAACTGTATCACTCCACCGGAAGATGTACGGTCAAAATCGCCCACGTGTGTAAGTGTGTTAGATCTAGAGGGTATAACGCCTGAAATATACAAGCAGTTTACAAGTAATTATATGGTTTTAATTTCCTCGTTATGTGATTTAATGTTGAACATAGCAAACACAACAATTTGAATTGATATTTGGAGGTCTGAAGAAAAAATAGGTAACCGATCTAGATTTGGATTTATGCTTAGTTGCATGTTTTCGACCAATCATCAATAAAACTCGGATGCCAGAGTGGTGTTTAACATAATGCGAAAATTATAAATCTTTGTTTCCATAATGCTCAATAAAATATCAAGAATTTGTTAATGTTTACTAGCGTACTCACTGTAATTAGTTGGTAGAGCGCCGCTTCCTAAACTGAATTTCTGGACACCGGTTCTTCCCTCTGTGTCGATGGATTCTACTTTAACATTGTATCTGCACGCCGTGATGCAGTCTTCGGTATTTACAAAGTCCAGAAAATACGCCGAGTAAACGCCATCGTCGCTAGTAATGTCGGCACCTGTAAATAATTAAGCAGATTAGTTTATCACATATCCGAACATTCCTTGACCAGAAAACTTCCAAGTATTATTACTGTTCATATAGTGTAGTGTATACCAATTTATCTATGACTTATGGTCTATCTATCATATACTCCAAGGCTCACCTCCTCCATTGTCAAATAAACGCAATTTGACATCGCTATTACTCCCCGGTCGTTCAACATTGGCCACCACTTTGGCGTTGATCACCGCCGAGTGACCCTTACGTAACTCAGCATATATAGCAGTATAAGGCGGGGTTTCAACAACAAGTGGCGAGTCAACAGTGCACGTCAGTTTCATTGGGATCTCTTCTTTCTCTGAAGATTTCGACTCTACTGCAATTTCCACCAGTCTAGCCTGCGAGTCGTCGTTCATGATTTTATATGTCCAGGCGCCGATCTAATATAAGAATGTAGTATTTTAACTAAGTACTAGTATACATTTATTTATGCCTTTTGCCAATGAACCCTTTTGGGATTTTTCAATTGCAGTTAATTAATGTTACATTTAATATTTCAATTTGTCTGCATTGTATAATAATGTCATTGCAGTTGTAGAAGAAATGCATATTTAAATATCATTTACGTAATGATTATATCATCTTTTATGGGAAGATGAACACTAGTTGCTCACTTGGATCGATTCGGGCGATATGTGACGGGTGAACAAGTCAACCAGCCTACCAATACCGGCTGAATGTCGCAATAAAATCGATTGTTCGATACCGCGCTGTTAAATATGTGTTCAATTTAAATTTGCGTTTTGTTGTGTAACGAAGAAAGGTCAATCCATGAACAATATTTGACGTAAGCGCAATTGCAGCTAAATATATAAGTTAATAATACACTTAATTTGACAATTAAATACCTCTGCGCGTCCTGCTATGCTTATTGTAATCGTTTTGGTTCTTCTCTCGTAAGTGTATTCATCCGAATCTTTGTTAATAATTAACTCCCCCGACGGTGACGTCAGCTCAACTGTCACTGCACCACGCGGTGTGCTGAACTCTCGATAGAAGAAGAAAAAAATGCTATTTGACCCCAAGGTAGCGTCAATATAAA